CTTTAATCCTACAGAAGACCTGTAGAGGGAGCTGAGGGTTACCACACATCTGTTGGCCAACCACAAGCAACGTCTGACCTCTTAGATAACATAGTATTTAGTAATAGTGTCTTCACAGTATAATCATTTTAGAACAAATTAATGCTTTTATGGTACATTTAAAATAAACCAGTCATTTTATTAATGGACTAATGTCTTCTTTGTCTTTGTCTATGGGGAAATGTTGGCAAAAAGCAACAAGGATGTTTTAGTAATGAAGAGGATACTTTAACCGTCAATATGTGATGGACACTTGAGGGCCTACTACCCGATAACCATAAATGGACTGTGAAGAAGTTACAAGAGGTTAGACTTCATGACTCCAACTGGGACTTTAGCATATTTTCCAAGAACAAAATGACGTCAACCAAACCAACCAAGGCCTTTTTCAATCATTACTTGCTTTCTCCTGGAAATTAAAAACTCTTTAAAACATATTCCCAGTCCCTATTTTGGAATTACAGGAAGTGGAATTAAATTCAGGGAAATTCTACTGAATTCCACTTATTGCTGTTTCAAAGCATTGCTTTTAGAGATATACCGTACTTCAGCTTTATTCATGATGCTTTAAAATGGCAAGTGAAATGGAGTTGATCAACTGTAGATTATGAATTATTCATTGAATAACATTGGTGATAAGTTTCTGGATGTGCTACACATTCAATATATTCAATATAACATTACTATATAATATATGTCTCAATTCACCCCAAATGCATGTTTATTTATGCATTTCGTTCATGTTATGCATTGAATGATCATGATTTCTTGAATTTTGGCACTGCTAAGCTTACATCTCTCAGACATAAATATCTTACCAGCAACAACTAAAAACTGGTTCTACTGGAGCAGATTGCACCAGGAGAGGATCAGACTTTTCATAGGCTTAGGGAACTTGATAAAGCAGCACACTACTTAAGTGACATAAAATACTTTGTATTTCGGTTATATGTTTGCTGTTTATGTGATTTATAATATTTATTGTACTACAAACTCTTACACAAATCAAGTCCAATTATTTTATCCAGCATCTCAAGTGGAAGAAATTTGATGTCACTTCTGTTTCCCGACAATCCAATTCAATTCCATTTCCTGTCAGCTGCATGCAATTGCAATTCCATTCCAGGAAGTGAATTGGAATTTAGCCATCATTCTCAATTTAATTCTTGGATGGCCCCAATCCCGATGTTCACCTGTTCTACTGTTGCTTTGATAAATAAAGCTTCCTTTATTTCAACTTTGCAAGTTTTCCATACTCTCTCTCAGATTGATATGATTAAAGAATATTTACTCAATTCCACATGTTGCATCCAGGATAGCAGAAACCCGAGGGAACTGAAAAATGAAAAGATACAGAACATTCTAAAGCATGTTAGCTTGAAAGCTTTTCATTAAGAAACAGCTTGGGAAAAGTAAAAAATACATCCATTTCAATATAAACAAATTTAAAACCATTTCTTTGTTAACACAATTAAATGCTTTAAATAAGACATGAAAAAGCTTGAACTCACAAAAGGCTTTTGAAGAACAGAGATTGTTTTCTTTAAAAAGCTTGGGATACTCAGAATTAAGGCTTGACTGTGGACAGAAGGATCAATGGGGCCACTCTTCCTGCAGTTACACAACATAAATCACATGAAACATACACCATGAATCATTTTATCACTAATGGAAAACAATTACAAAAAGAAACTTACAATTTACTAAAGAGGGTTCTACCTCCATCTGCCATGACTCCTTTGAGAATGAACTCATGGAAAACCTCATACAGCCGCAGAGGTTGAAATGGGATGAGCTACGATACAATCATGAACATTAGACCAGAGATCAGCACAAACTGCTTCATACATTATATTAATAACAATAATAAATTAGTACAGAAATTTGTGAATTCCAGTTCTCTTCAAATAAACCTGTACAAGAGCTAAAACAGCTCAGACACATTGTAACATGTGTTGTACTCCATTTCACTTCATTTACCAAAGGGAGTTGATGGTTCTAAAAGGCTAGAATACATAGAATACATGAGTATTTGACTTTGCAATCAAAAAAGGTTGTTATAATGGAAGTGAATGGGGTACAAACAATAAATGAGGGATTTTAAAAAATCTGGTGCTACACAAAACCTAAAATTCCATTAATACCAATATTGTTACTAATGTTTGACATATCCAAGACTATGGTAAAGAGATTTTGAACAATTTCTAAGCATTTTCCCAAAACATGGTCACCAAAAATCATAAAATTAGCCAAAATAGAGAAAAAGTTATTGCCAAATTTAAACTTAAATTGACGCTGAAGTGACTGAAAACATTCCCAACAACATATAAGGGTTAACTGCTCCCAATGAACCGAGTAGGGGTTACAGTTATTTATTTGTCTATGGTATGAGCTGAGCTTCCACTGACTTGAAGAACTGACTATTGAATTGTACCGTGTGTCCCGCCCTCTCCAGCAGCTTCTTGGTCTCCCTGAAGGCCCGGCTCATGCTTGGAGATGGCTGCAGGTACCCGTCATTTTCATAGAAACCAATCTTCAGGGGCGTTGTGCTCTCATACACCTGTCAGGTATCAAAGGCCCACAAATCACAGGGTGTAGTGTTTCCAAAACACCTGTTCTTCTTTATTAAAGATGCTAATTAATCAGGACCTCATGATTGAATGGAATGGGAGGAACTGTGGGGTCCAGGGTGAACATCTCCTGGCAAAGCAGTGCCTTCATACAAAGTGCCAAGCTCTCCACATCCCGTGCCAAAGGACCCAGAGAAGACAACACTGTAAACCAGAACATATGAGCATATGCAGTAATTTTAAATTCAATGCAGATAAAAAAAAGAATTACAGAGTTATTAGTCAAGATTTTACCTGACTTCTGTCCTTTGATGCAAGAATTGACTCCTTGTAGACTAACAATAGAGAAAAGGGGAAACAAGACCAGAAACATGTTAGAATCACATTCGTTTTTGTTTTTTAATGAAATGATCTCCAGGTCAAATTAAGACTTTTAATACTGTGGACGTTGATTTTTAATTTTTATATCCAAAAAATGTAGAAGAACTTTAATACGGCAATTCACAATTATAAAGTATTCTTAATTTCATTTTTTATATTTTGTAACATTTAGTGCAAACAGAATGATTTCCCATTGTATATAAAAAAATCCCATATTTTCCATTTACTGTTTACCATAAAAACATCAACAAATTTAGAAAAAAAGCTAAGGTTATGTATTTTTATTTGTCTTAAAGTCTTTACAGTTTTAGACCTAAACTAGATTTCTAGATGTGACTGCTAAGCTACCTACACCACTGTAATAGGAACACCAGTTCAGTTTAGGTCAGTTCACAAAAACAAAAGTTTTTGATAAATAAATGTTTTTTTTTCGTTAAAATAGTTTGGGTGGAATATGCCATATGAAAATTTATTTCCTTTTCTTCCGTCTGTACCACAACCACAACCAGTGAGATTCTCCTGAATACAAACGTGAAAAAGATGCACGTTACACACCTCAGCCGTTTTGACGTGGGTTTAAAACCACAAATCCCACAGAAAGATGATGGGATGCGAACACTGCCACCGATATCTGTCCCAAGACCAAGTATGGATCCTCCTCCTCCAATAAGAGCCCCTTCTCCTCCAGATGAACCTCCAGGTGTTTTCTGAAGGTTACTGGGATTTAACGTTTGCCCATAAATGGAGTTACCACAGTCATAACTACAGCCGAAACAAAAAGAGAGATACAGAGATATCTTCAATATCTACAAAAAGATTTAGAGAATGTTGAATCAAAAAAATAAACAGATAAATATGTTTAGATACAGAAAAAACAATTCAGAGAAATATATTTAGAGAATTCTGAAAACCACTGGACCTTGACTTCCCATAGTAAGCTTTTGTCCTGCTATGGATGCCAGAGACTAATGGTTTCCTGAATAATTTGTCCTTTCTTTAACAAAAAAAAAACTTTTAAGACGTTTTGACCAACTTGAGTTCCAACAAATAAATTCCAATTTTGTTCACAGTAAATGTGGAATTTTATTTTGGTCAACCCCTTGTATCCCTCAAAAAACATTAACTTTTAGGAAGAAGACACCATGTATTCATAAGTTCCCTGCTCTTGCTAATATGCAACACATGGTGACCTCTGGAACTGGTCATTGAAACCCTGCTGTGTATCACCGCTCATAAAATGTTTAATGACTGCAATGCCTCAGGTGTTAAGTCGTAAAATGTCTGCATAAAGTCCATCAAAATATTGTAAAAATATATACATTTTACTCAAGCAAACTAAAATGTAGGTTTAAGAGCATGGATATGTACGAAGTTAATAGCTAATGAGATGTGACTGCTCTTGTGGTAGGACCAAATGCCATGCTGTATTAAGCACAGTAGATGAGTAACTGTGGTACACGAAAACCTAATTTTTGAAACCTAATGTTAGGATATCACGTCTGAACGCACCTATAGTGCAACCTACATCATCAGTTATAGCACCACCAGATGGTCACAGAAAAAAAGAGCATTAAACATTGATTCAGTAATTCTTTAAACAATCTTGATGTGTAATAAAAACAAATTCTAAATATTCTGATTCATAGTTGTTTGTGTTTGTTCAAACTGACAACAGATACACTGATGAAAAAGAGTCATTCATTTGGTTATAAAACTAACATGCTTTTAAAAGAACAGTGCTACTTTCAATTTCTCTCACTTGTCTCCACTCATTAGCCCTTCCCCGTAGGGGTGTCCATATTCTCTTTTGAACGGAGGGGGAAAGAGGTGAAAACCCCTCTCCAAGAAGTGAGGGTTCAAACAATTGGTTAAGATAAATTTCCCAGCAGGTGCTATGGGATGCTCGTACATTTGTAGCTTACATGAAAATGGCAACCAGCAGGACCAAAGAGACTGAGAAATGCATGAAATTTGTCTTTTTTAAAAGATTTTAAATTCACAAAACATCAAGCGTTGGTGGTATAGTGGTGAGCATAGCTGGCTTCCAAGCTGTTGACTTGAGATCAATTCTCGGCCAACCCAATCTCTCTACGATTGCCGACCTGTCGAGGGTGTACCGCCGCCTCTCTCATAATGTGTGCCGACAGACCCCTGTGCCCCGAAAGGGAATAAACGGGTTGGAAAATGAATGAATTAATGAACTTACAAGTTTTATGTTAATTGTGCTAATGTAGCGGTCAGCAAATGAAACGATAATCACTAGATGCACAGAAATAAAAATAATTGTTTGTTTTACAGAAATCTTGCACTATCGTTAGCCTAATAATTAATGTAGGGGTGTCCCAATTCTTTAGGCTTATTGTTTTTTACCCCTCAAAGAGATGGACCTGAAATCCTCATACGTTATTGTTTGTAATCTTTCTGTAGTTTGACTCATTTCTGTTACTCACTTGAGAAGCCCTTGCGGTATGTTGGTTTTGATGAAGGGAATCGCTCCCTGTTTTTTCAGCACTGCGACCACAACACTGTCCCCAACAGCTGGATCATTCAGGTTACTGACCACTCCACACGTGGAGTCATGACCCTAAACACACACGCTGTTAAGTACACAGTCATCATAACCCCAACACATTTGCTCATGTGATCACCTTATATCCAACGTTCTCCTTGATGCTGATGGGTACTCCATACAAGAGCCCTCTCTCCTGAGTGCTCATGACTTTAAGTTGCTCCAGAGACTCCATTAAGATCTCAGTGCTGCAGTTCAGAGTCTTGTTCACTTCCAGAGCCTAGAGAACAAGACCTTACACAAATCAATTTTTCACAAACAATGCACAAACCCGGGTCAAACTGTATATGTAGGGCTTTTGTGCAATTAGTTCAAACCCTCTCAGTCTTTTTTGTACTCTGAATTAAGTTTTATGGGTCAGAATAGAATTAATAAATACATTTTCCAATTGTTTGTGTGTGACATCTACTACCTTTATTTAAAGAGGAAATACTACTCACATTAAGTTAGAGATATTGGGAGAGACTCAGTCGATTTTCCTACACACAGTGGTTTTTTCACTTCAGAAATGTTAGGGAGGCAACAGTACTGGGTGGTTTTACCTCCGTCTGTGTTTTCCATGAAATGGTCTCATTGTGTACAAGTGTGCGTTTTTGTGGGTTGCAATATCAATAGACGACTCTGGGTACAAAAAGCTGGTATTGTCAGAAAATCATTCCAAGTTATTAATTTAAACAGCCTTGAGCACACAACATCACTTCAGCACACAACATCAGCTTTTTATTGTCATTTCAGCCATACATAGTGAAATGAAACAACGTTTCTCCAAAACCTCTGGTGCTACAGAAAACAACATACAACACGACAGAGAACTAAGGACTAAGTTATATACATAAGTGCATCGTGTGCAACCTAGTGCAAACAGTGCAGAACAATACAGTGCAAAAAACAGACAAGACAGTGCAGGACAAGATACTCAACAAAAAAGATAACACCGACTAGTAACCTAAAATAACCTAAACTGTAAACAGGGGTGTGATAGTGATGAAGTGTGCAAAAGAGCAGAAATAGCAGCAAGGATAAAAAAGAAAACAGCATGTAAACAGTAAACGGAGTTAACAATAAATAATAAATAAAGGTTGTGGTGGAGATGAGGATGTATGTGAGTTAAAATGATAATGAATGAATATGAGTGAGTTCAGTTCTTTGTGTTCAGAAGCCTGATGGCTTGTGGGAAAAAAAATGTTGTTTTTCTTCTTAAAGGTCGGGAAGCGGCACCTGGGCCTGGCTTACCTTGGGGTCGTTGGCAGGCAGTTAGATGTTTGTGAACTTGGTGTATCTCAAAGTGTTATACGTACTTGCATCAAGACACAGAACAACTGGCAGAGTTCATGACAAACCCAGGATTGGGGCCCGGCGAGTGACGGAGCGCAACAATGACTAGTAGTGTTCAACTTGTTTTCTCTTGTCTCGGTCTTGTCACGGTTTCGACTCTCTGTGATCTCTGTATCGTCTCGGCTGTCTCTGGTCTCTTATTCAGAGAACAATTTTTAAAATGTCAGCAAAATCAACCGTTATTACCGCTGGCTTTATGGAGCAAAAATAATGTATTTGTACAACTTCAATAAAGAAGAAACATTTTGCTGTGTGCAAACTTTGCGAAACTACTTTGTCAGAGACTTCTAGAACAACATGTTCTTTCACCAGATGAGGCAAGAAAACCTTTCACCAGATTTAACTGTTGAACACTGGCTTAGCATGCCTTGGTCTTGTCTTGGTCTCAGTGCTCTTTGATTTCGGCTGGGTCTTAGTCAAGTCGGTCGAGTACCATAGGATCTATGCACTGAGATATTGTCGTGCAACTCCCTCACAGCTGCAGGCGTGTTTATGAGATGTGAGGACTACTAGGGTTTCCAGATGAACCATTTGCCGCCGCCTCCACCCCTTTACCTCGAAGGTCAGACTACCGTTGCAGGTGACTCCACTAACAAACAAGGCACCGCTGTGTCTGCAGTGCGCACAAACCCATATGACCTGGACAATGCAGCAGTGGACTACTGTCCTCATTGTCTGTCATTGCTGATGGTGAAGGCAAGGTGTTGCACCAGGACACCCCAAAGGTTTGACCACATTGTGGAAAACCTCATATGCTATGGCCATCAATGTGAACATCCCCTTGGCTTTAATTAATTCCTTCATAGACTTCTTGAGTTCCCTGTGTGCATGTTACCCTGTGAAACAAGTTAACGAAGGACGAAACTGATTCTCTTGTAGAAAGTTGGTACAAGACATTTTGTGGAAGGAGATTAAATTAAGGGATCCTTCATGCCTAAAGACTGCTCTGCCCTCAAGTGTAGATTCAGGTTTGGCTGTCAAGCCCCTTTTGTTTTGTTTACTAGGCCCGCTATTTTGTTTATATCCATTGTTTTGTTGGTTTCTTGTTTTTATATCAATTTTAAATCCTGGTTACAACATTGTCACAGTCACCTGAACCCCATCGAGCACGTCTGGGACCAGTTGAAACAGAGACTGCACGTAGCGCACCCCATGTGACTTGGCAAAACTGTGAGAAGCTCTTGTGGAAGAGTGGAAAGCATTGCCACAGAACAACTTCAGGAGGCTAGTGAGGAGAATGAGATGTGCTTTGCAGCGGTTACAGCGGTAAATGGTGGAATTACCTCATGTCCTACACATGTCCCTCAACTTATTGTGAGAAGGCCATAACGGCAGGGAGTTACATGTCACACTCACTGCTGGGTATTTTGTGTTTTAAACTTGAACACTTATGCACGTTGATTTAAATTGGCGAGAGAGCAGGCATCACGTTACACAACTGTGTACTGAAGTTGACAAGCCTCTCAAAAAGCAACTAAACTCTCACACTGTTTATGAACAGGTCATAAAAACCCTTTAGAAAACTCTTTTTGAATATTCAAAAGTAACAAGAGTTTAACAAATCTAACATTTTACTTTAGTAAAAGAAAACAAATGCACACTTGGTTCACCTCTAATAATATTATCTGCATTACCTTTTCAATGAAAGCATGAAGCACAGTGTCGGGCTGCAGGAAACCATCCTGGAGTTTTGCAGTTAGCTCTGACAGAGACAGAGTCACTATAGTGCTGCTCTCAAAGCCAGGGTTCTGCATGGGTTCAAGAAATGGAAATATAACAAAATTCAGAATATTTGACATACTTTGCAGAAACTACATAAAAATAGACTGATAATGTCTGGACGTTAATTCATCGTCCTCTGAAAGTTCTTTTTAAGAGACCAATTACTCAAAGAAAAGCTTTTGCCTGGCAACTGCCACTTAATTAAAATTAATAGAATATTCGTTTCTTCACTTATGGTCAACAAGATTAATGTATTTATTAAAACATAAAAACGACAACATCTGATCATTTCCCAAAGGATTTCATTTGAATTAAATAATTATATAAACATATAAATAAAATTATAAATATGTAATAATACAAAATATTGTTTATCTTTAGTTCCTAGACAGAAAACTACCAATAAACGTGTTCTCTTTTTTTTGTACAAATACTACAGTGAAAAGTTCACGATTACATAAAGGCATATTATTTTCAAAGAAAGATGATCACAGTACCTGTGATTTAAATAATTGCACTGCTTGTTCAGCCCGTTGAAGAGATATGTCTCGTCTTTTACGTGCGTTTAATATAATTTTCTGGATATTCTGCTTGTTTCTCCATTTCCAGAAGAAAAATAAAGCACCTGTGCAGCACACTGTAGCTGTAAACACGGGTGCCCAGTAAATATCCACGGGTCTCTGCAGAATAAAACTCCCCATGATTGCTTCGGTTGAAAACGTCTTGTGATTCTGAGGGTTCCAGGTGTTCTACCCTCCTGTAACATACAGTCACAGGTTCTGCCGTAAACCTACTCGTTAAATATTCGAGCGTAATCGGGACTTTAACTTTGACACAGTTCAAGAAGTTTCTACACGCTCTAGTGCTCACGCTCTTTCTCTACTTCCGGTAGATTGTAAGAAAACGTCTATGTTCCAACTCAGGTTCTGCTCCTAGACATACGTAGATGCCCTATTACGTCTTGTCACGTACGTCGTCATTTGCGCCATCTTGGTACGTGCAGAGAGCTCTGTACTAAGTGTGTCACATAGCCGGCGGTGTGAGGCCAAACCGCTGCGGGCGCTCACATGGGGATGGCTGCAGAATGATTAGGGTAAACGCTTGAAAATATTTACTCAAACGTTGTCATCGAAATCCGAAAACTATCTATACAGTGAACAAACTTCAATAGTTTTTTTTTCTTGGCTCAAGTTTATTTTCACGTGGTTCATTTTTCCCAACATGTGATTGACAGGTACACAGAACAGAGCTGACTTACCACTGTCATCACGTCTTGAGAAAGATCATTTACGCTGTCAATATTCAAATTCAGAGAATCCCCTCTCAAATGCATTCAGTCATTCATTTTCCAACCCACTTATTCCCTTTGACCCTTTCAGGGTCACAGGGGTCTGCCGGTGCCTATCTCCAGTGCACAGGGGGCGAGAGGCAGAGGCACACCCTGGACAGGTCGCCA